AACGGGTTATTTCAATATTAACCAAAATACATAAAATTGTTTTGATTGCGCGTTGTTTTCAGGCACAACCAGTAGAGTTATAAATTTATTCAGGGAAGAGCAAAACGAGCCTACTTGTATTTATTCTACTAACCGCCCTGAGCGCTTATTAAATTTTTGGACCTTGAGAGTGGGCGCTTATTCGAGTTGGGCGCTTATTCGCGGCTGGGCGCTTATTAAATTTGTACCCTTTTTCAGCAGGCGTAGCCTATTTATTTTGAAACAAAACGATATATAGTTAGTAATAACAAAACGCGAAGACGTATATAACAAAGCAAGGTTTCTGTAAAATACACTGACGAAAATTCCCTCTTCGGAAAAGTCTCTTATTAGTACTAATTTAATTCTAATTTCAATCTCATTGTCACTCAAGTCAATAAGTGAATTATCTGGTGCTGCTTCCTCGGTGTCCGAAATCATAACGTTGGCAAATGGGTTAGTCGCCCGAGAAGCAGATACGGCTTATTTGAGTTTGAGTGGGAGAGGGAGGAGGGTGGGGTGGGGGTAGGCGCTTATTCGAGGCTCATTAACTTTTTGTGCCTTTAGGATGGGCGCTTATTCGAGGTGGGCGCTAATTCAAGGTTGGGCGCTTATTTGAATATATACGGTCAGTTTACTGAATAGGCGATTACAACGGTTTGTTCTATGGGGCAAAAAGGATTGTCTAGTTTGATTGTTGATGTATTAAACCAACGAATATGAAGAGAATTAAAACCCATAAAATAACAATAAATCGGCACGATTGTGGACCACACAGGAAAGAAGAAGGACACAACTTGAGTAGGGCTAGCCGTTTTTATATTTATATTTGTAGGTTTCAGAAATTATCACTTCTTCCCTATACAAACCCTTACTCGGACGGTCAGGACGCAATAACATTCCCGACCGACGCTCATGATGATCTAGCTTGGTTGACCTGTGTTTGTTGATGACAGAACTTGCCATGCCTCAAAACATTCAAGACAGTTTAACGACCATGAAGTATATATTTTTAAGATTAGAACTTTGAAATTGTTGCGTTTGTCATTTTTAATCACTTTATTTACATCCGTGTGGCATTTTCACAACTGGTATCTCTCAGATCACGAGCCCGCCATAATCCAGAGCGAGCAACTCCCATAATCGGAGGTAGAAGCGGAATCATTTGAATCTTAATATTCATGATTCCTGTAGTTTTTGCCTCAGTGATTCATGATTCCTACAAGAATTCAGATTCATGATTCACGACGACTTCTGATCACCTATTGACTTAATGATTTTCTCAGGAGCAACTTAGTCTCGTTATATATTCTTTGGTGTTCCAACTTCTGCTTCATTCAGACTTGGTATCATCATTCGTTTTGTCTTGGCATGGAGTTTTTTTGTAACTGAACATTAAGCACAAGGTTATTGGAGAAACAAGCGGACTGTCAGTCCTGAATGCACGAATTATATAGGGGGGTCCGGTGGCATATTCCCCCGCAAAAAAATTTTTAAAAATTGGACTCTCGTAAACGCCATATCCTGCATTCCCTGGATCGAACGCAATTAATTCATACGTGTATTTTATTGAACTTTTCTCAGAGTCTCGTTATTCATGATTCCGGAGCCGAAGTATAAAGATTCATGATTCCCAAGTTTTTAAAACAAGGATTCAGGATTCTTACATGTTTTGTAACCATGATTCATGACTCATGATTCCGCTTCCACCCCCGACCCATAAAGACTCCATAAGTTGGCCTATGCCACGGCGTTTTCACAGAGTGGTTTACTTTTTTTAGATACATTTTAGAGCACTTTCGTATTCTTTCGACTAATCTTTTGTGTTTGACTCAGAAAGAAGCTAATGTTAAGCTATTAGCGCAGGTCACTGAAGATTTTTCCTGTTTGACACGACTGACTTGCCGTGAAATTTAAGAGGTGTTTATATTGATGGTACCGTCCAATGCTAATTTCGTTTCGTGCACTCGTCATGCTAGCTACATGCACAGCAATAGCGCAGCAACTTAAACTTTTCTTACTAAACTACGGTTAAACAACTAATTTTTTTTATATTTTAGCTTTATTTAACACTGATGAGTATTTAAAAATACCTAGGCCTCGGGGTGTTACATTTAAACTTAAACTTAAAATCATTCTTTAAACTACTCTTGTCCGAGTACGAGATCTTAGGTTATGCGCAGAGCATGTTTAAATTTAAGAAAGAACAGATAACACCGTGAAAAAAAAGTATGCATGTGGCTGGCTGAAGATTCATATGGAGCTCAAACTATACCTTTAATTTCAACCCGCTGTTAGTCACCCTTGAAATTTCATGATCTTATTTAAAATTTTAAAATACACGTATACAATAACTTAGGACAAATAAACCGACGAAAGAACAACTGGCGAAAAGTGAATTAGGAAAGTGATTGCCGTTAAGAACTGTCGGCTTCTTAAGGTTTGCTTACAAAAGGGAGCCGTATCGTGGCATCAGTTATGTACAATGTGTACTTTCCTACGAACGTAGTAAATAATGCGGAAATTTTAATTTGTTGTTCTTTAATTTAAATACGAGGATTTTGTAGGATATGCTCAATCGCTGTGTCACACGTTTCCCTACTGACTAAATGATAAGCTTTCTTAATTTCTTTGAGCTGTTATTTCTTCCCTGTCTCTGGGTTGAAAAACATCTAATTTCTAAGAGGAATTGGTAGGAAATTTTAAGTAGTAGTGATGTGATTATTATTCACACATCATCGGTCACACTAAAAGCCTTTTAAAACATCCTCGAACGGCTCGACTTTATCAGTGACGCCAAAAGGGCGGGGGACAGTTACAAAACAAAACTTACATTTTGCTTCGGAGTCCACTTTGTTCCCATTTGGTGGGACTTTGGGCGCCATAGTCTTTCAGTCGAAATAATCACCCAGGTCACGATTAGGATTTAAATGCAAAGTTTGCATAAATTTAAAGGGTCAACACAAACCCTGATGACCAATCCTTGTAGCGGCATTGTTCAGAGCTCAATGCTCATTTCACACATTCCGCGTCGCCTTAATTTCTTCCAGATCTCTTTTATGAATTGTCAAAGTGAGAGAAATGGCATTTTTAATCATTTTATTTTGCTATGCTTTATTAAATAGCTATCATCGGGGGGAGGTTTAAGAAGTTTTGTTAGCCATAAATTGTTTCCCTAGTAACATAATCCTGAGAAGGAAAAAAAAAACTATGAATTTAATTATAACAACTGATTTCCACCATTGTAAGGCTTTTCTTTTCGTCTATTACCAAGGGCGTAGCTACCTGAACACTAAGCTAGTTGACAAGTGCGCATCTGAAAATATCTCGAAGATACAATAAATGAAAATAAGGCAAAAACAAAAGATGACTAAACCAAGCGATGGCTAAAAACGGTGCAATTGTTTTTTAAGGTAACTCGGCTTTAAAGTTTTTCAGATATTTTTTTAAAGAAAATGCGGTGTTTTTTTCCCGGTGTCGCCAGTGCAGTAACTGATGAGACACATGAAGGCTTAACCACCAACGACGGCGACGACTACGAAGACGTGACTATTAAAATTGAATTCGCCCTGCTGCAAACTTTATTGTGCTCATTCTATCTCTTTCAATTCAAATGTTGTAAAACATTTTGGCAGTTAAAATCTAATGGACTGTATCAAAGTTCAGGAAAAGGAAAAGAAAATTGTCTTGCGTTCACGTCCTCCACAAAACGTGAAATTAGACATTTTCATTTCGTAGTCATGCAGTTACGGCAAAGAAATGTAGAAAAAAGCGTGATACACGTGCAAAGTTGCTGTTTTTGAAACCTACTGCTTTTTTGCCTTTCTCGTTGCCGTCGCCGTCGACGATGTTAAAGCTCAAGTTTCTAGCCTGTTCCAGGTGTTCAGATAGTAGAGCGCGGGAGAAAAATTCACGAAGAAAAAAAAACGAGAGGAGACATTTTCCCGGTTTACAACTTAACTCGCTCCCCACTTACCTTCGCGCTCTACTATCTGAACGACTGGAACAGGCTATCAAGTTTCTTGCTCGCCAAGCCTTCGTGCAGTAAAAATGGAAGTACTGGGCCTACGCAGGGAGCTGGGATGGCCTGGGTTTTACCCGTTATCACCATTAATTAAACCGGTGTTTTTTTGTGATACCGTCTTGCAATCTTACAAAGTTCTGATTTGCAAGTCGCCAGGTTTGTTGATGTAAGGATGAATTGATTTTTACCGATAAAAATTGAAATTCGAAGTTTTCATTCTTCCTCCTTCTGTCATCCGGCTTAGAAGCTACTAGTGGACTGCGGAAGAAAACAAAAGCAACTCTTTCCCTGTCCTTCTTAGAGTAGTAAATACCCGCTCCACAAAAATGACAGAAGAACGCCAAGAACCAACTCTAGGTACTCGATAAAGAGAGTGAACAGTAGGACAAGCATAGCAATTAAGTTTTTATTTTTCATTCGGTAACAATAGAGGCCCTGGAAACGAGGTGGGCTTCTTATGCTGCCACACTGTTCAGGTTACTGTGTATAATAGTCCACTAACAATATACAAAATGACAACTTTGACATGTTTTCCTGTCACTTGGGCTTTAACTTGAAATGCCTGTCCCATCTTTTTACATTATACAAGCGGCAATGGCTTGCATAGTGCAAAGCAGTCACATGTAACAGAGACAGATAATACCACTTTTATTTTTTTAAAGGTTTTCCCTTCTCCTTAAGTCCACAGTTGTCTACATCCACGATTATGTCGCATGTGTTTTCAACGACGCTAATGATGACCTTGTCTCAGTTTACGTTTCATACACAGCTTGTAGAGGCTTTCGACACACTGACCAAAGCTGGCCAGTTACATCGCAGCAAAGCCCACAACCGCAGTGTACACGATGCTACAGTGACGAACAAATAATCGCACCAGTCTACCCTCGTTTATGAGGAGTGCCGCCAAATTAGAAGCCTGGGCTACTATAGCCAACAAGTTGATTCCTTTCTGTTCATTCTATTTCATGATCCGATACTGTAGTAGCAGGTCTCCTCCGCCTTTCCAAATAAAATGCCGGACTGTTCGCAAATCCATGTTTGGATCTAATACCTGGTATAAAGAAAGAAAAAATGCAGCTAAACCTGACAACAATACAGAGTGTAGGTATATTAAGGAGAGGTAAACAGGAGGAAAAGCATAGCCGAGTGAAGACATTTTTAGATTACAAAAAAATAGCCTGCGAACGCAGACGTATTTCGGGTCTTCGCTTCTCTCTATCCGAAAAGTAACGTCTGTGAACCCGAGCTACTGGCTTTTTGGGTGGAAAAAAGTGACGAACAGATACACGTCTGGGTTCGAAGGCTAACAAAAGGGTGGATCAAGAAATAAACCAATGAAATCTCTTAAATTTTGATGAGTTGATAAATTAAGAAATTGACTGATTGACTTACTAACTGAATAAACGAAAGAACGAACAAACGAACAACTGAATAGCAGTATATCTCTATTTACTAGGATAACAAATTACCTAAAACAAAGACATTGCAATTTAATTGATATAAAAGTGAGCGAGTGAGTGGCTTAGTGACTTACTGGGTTGTGACGGATTGATTTCCTGAAATAAAGATATGATAATAATATGTCTGGCTGACTTGAACAATTCATCACTGAGAGACTTTGATCTACCGACCGTTTGAATGACTATAAGTCATTCAAGTCAGCATGCACGGGTCTGTCTGATTACGTTACTTACGTACTAATACGGAATCTTCAAGACCTTCAAAAACCCACCTGTTCATGACACAGCAGCTCGACCCGGGCCTCAGCTAATGCGCCTAACTCCTCCAGTTGTTGCTCGGTTGGTGGCCCGGCCTGCTCTTTATCGGCCTGGTTACCTGAGTTATTGCTATTATCATTTCCTATCACCTTCTCATACACGTGCTCAATCACTTTTCGCACGTGAAGCATATCACTGGCTGACAGCCGATCCCTGAAAACACAGTTCACTAACTTTAGCATAAATGCTGTTTCCTGGCTCCTCAATGGATCAACCAACAATGAAGAGATGACTACAAAATGCGTTCATTTAGATTAAACACAGTCAGGCCACAACGCGAGTGCATTAAGGACACGTTTACACTATACCGGATAGATTTTGGGCCGGCATGAAAGCAATATGAGATAGGGCTTCTGTTCTCACATAAGAACCGAGACTTCGGCGCGGTTTCTGTAACGGAGCGAAGCTGCGCCGCGCCGATGTCAAAAGTGGAGAGTCACATATCGGATAGGTGTTCATACTACACCGGAGAGCTTTAGCGCATGCACGAAAACCATACGGGATAGTGTGATTATAGCCTCAGTATTTGATTTTAACTATTATAGTATCAAGCTTTACCTCTTTAACGCTTTTGAAGAACTTGAAGAGTGCGGTGACAAGAAAAATGCAATCTTGTTAAATTTAGGCATCAGTTTCTGTGGAAAGATAACACAGCTTACAATATCATCAAAGATTATTTCACAAATAATCTAAGGCGAACGGTTAACTGATGGGTTAATACATGTAAAAACCTTTCTATTAGGCCTACGTCAAAATGACGCATTTCCCCCCCCTCCCCCCCCTCCCCAAATGCAGTGTTCACGTTATGCATCCACGTCTTTTTCAACACAATCAACATTGCTTGAGGGAGATGAGGACAGCAGAAATAGGCTTTACAAAAACAAGAAGTAGAATTCGAGCTGATTTAGCCAAGTGCATTTTCACGCCTAATTTCCTCGCGTGTCCAAAGATGTTATGACAGGTTGCACTTCCCCCACAAAGAACTTTGTTTTTCCTAAAGGCGTGGGTTACGGGAATTAAAAAGTATACACACATGATACGTGACACTATTTTCTTGTTTTCAAACCGCGTGCGGGCACTAGCCCTTGTCCATAAAACTCCCCATCATCTTAGAAGCGAAAACCCTTCTCCTTGATGTTGCTAGAATTTCCTTCTGGCTGCCTCGGGCTTCCAAGCATTCTTTCCTTTGCTTTTTCCGAGTGTTTGACATGTCCTAGCCAGCAGTCCGCCACAAACACGTGAAAATGCTCCAAGGTTAACAGCCCGCGCATGCTAGATGATGATCAACCCCGGGCCTGTTATTCAACTGTCGATAGCGCTATCCACCGGATAAATCACTATCCAGCGGACAGAGATTTAACCACTAGAGAGCGTTATCCACCCTTTCAGCAACTGGGGCCTAAAGATCTGAGGCCTGCTCTTGGTTGCTCGCACTAATTCTAACCTGCTTATCCCGTCACCAGCATTGGTGATGAATAAACTTCAAGTTTTGCCCAGAGAAGTTCACATTTCGTTCCCACAATGACTTCTTCTTTCCTTACCTTGACAGTAACATCCACAACCCAGAGCGGTACGGTCTCGGGAAGCAGATATCCTTCATTCTCGCCAGATGCGTCAGAAACCAGCAATCTAAACAAGGTTCGTCCTGTTCCGCTACACTCGTTGAATATTAATGGTGTGTGTTCAGGAACACTATAGAATCCATTTCCAGTTAACACACGCTGTTAAACCAAACCAAAACACAATAGTGAGCTTACTCAACAGGACGGGATGCAGAGGAGAACCGCAAAACGTTTAGATGTGACAAACGAGACAGGGCTATTGCGTGTTTTGTCGTGATATTCATTAAGTATTAGTGACCTTAAGATACACGTTTCTAACTACGGCTGCGGGTTGGCGACTATGTTTGCCACGTCAGAGAGTTTTATAAAAGGCGATCATTGTTGCCCAGATGACATAATTAATGTGTTCTTCTACTTCTTTTTAAAGAAAGGTGAAATTTTGCGGACAATATTGTCACGCTTGTCACACATGTTGTGCCGTCTTCTTCCCTCCACCTTCCTTTTGCGTAATTTCGTTTAATATGACATTGAAACATTCATTTCCAGTTATTACATGTTATCCCTCACTTTCCTCTTCCATACTTTCTCGCTTTGTGCGTTCTACGACAGGTATTGGATAAGTATTGATACTTCGAAAGCTAGTTGTGGCTTTATTTACACGAAGCGATTCCAGCACATCAAGTACTATACGAACTTGAACATGTAAATCGGTTTGAAAAAATATTGTGAGGAGAGCTGCCTGTTTCAGTATTAAACAACAGTAATATGAGCCGGCAAGGAACTAAATAAATCAACAAGAAACAAAGGGAAAATTTATCGTACACAAAAAAGCGCGGGAAAATGTTGCCGACGCCATGCCATGAGGACTGCCATGAGTGAAAAAACGCGCGCGACAAATAACAATGGTTTTGGTTTTATCATCTGATTGGTTGAGAAACTGGCACGAAATCTTTATCCAATCATAAAGGGTAGCAATGCAAAACTGACTAAGCCACTAAGAAACAAGATAAAAGCTGCTCTATAAACTACTCACAGATTCAAGGTTAAGGTTTACTTCACTAGCACTTGCATCTCCGCTTTCTGTGGAGATAAAGTATTAGGTCCTTCAAAGTAAATGAAATTTATCGAATATCTTGAGAAATAACCATAGTCAACAATTCTTAGGTTTTATGTGGGCCTTGACTTAGTAGAGCCTATGAGTTCTTTGATTTCCATCTATCTACAGGCTGTTTCCCTGGAAAACATCGCTGATTACCATACTTGATTTTTGTCACCATTTTGAACCCAAATCTCCTTAGCAATAATACCCAAATGTTATACGGGAAAAATCCGTGGAAAGCACCGTGGGATTATGATCTAAACCATGGCATTGTGACCAAACCTGGTGAGTCAGCTCTTGGTAGTTCTTGATCTCCTTCATCTCCGATCCCACTAAAGGTCTCAGGCCAATGTTCTAATAACGCTTGTAATAGCAACACTCCATAATTCACTGCCAGACAACCAAAAAACAACACACCAAGTCAATAGGCCATTTCCGAGTTCCCCCGGGCCTCTGTTTCAAAACGAGGGCAGGTGCTTGAGCAGCCTTTGATATGGAAGTCATTTTTCATTCTCACGCAAATAAAACTCATTTTCACAAGAATGGTTGTGCACCTAGCCTCATTTTGAAAGTGACGGTTTTTGGAACTCGGAAGTGGCCTTTTCATAGCCTGCTATTTAAGTACGAGATAATGTACATCAAAGAATTTGCGTTTAAATCTGCGAAAACAAATTATTCGCGGACAGATAAGAAAGAGAGAAAGGATCACTTAAAGATTCTGCCAAACTGCCTACTTACACCTTCCTTAATCCAATTTTTTTTGCCTAAAGAGAAAGGTTAGAGTTAATTCAGTTGGGCCAGGGGAGAGGTAGGTGCGTAGTTTTGCAGAACCTAAAACTGTTTGTCCAAAACATAAAAATACACAAAAAAAACACAACCAATTGATTACGCTTTCACTATCCGTTACAAAGAGAAACTGTTCGAAACTGTTCCTACCTTTCCCTTCCCATCGTCGCCTGCGCGCTTCGTCTTTCTTCTCTCTAGCCTCCCTCCCCAGCCTCCCTGTGACGCAAAGACGCCTCTAGGAAGGGGATAGACATAGTGCATGTAACTAGCAATGTTTACTCACCGTGTTTGATGTCAGAGGCAATGGCTAAAACAAGAACAAAACACGAATAAAAAAACAGTTCCTAAACAACTGAAACAAAATATTCCATACCATCCCCTAAAACTAGAAGATATTATAGAAAGATGAGTTTCTTATTTTTCGTTGCCAGGTAATTAGTTAACTTTAACTTGCAACAATTATCAAGGACGATTTTCTTTTCCTTTAGCAAACAGAACCTAAAAAGCACATGTCAGTTAATGAAATACTACTAACCTTTTCCATCTACAACTCTAGGTTCTAGCCCCGGCACATCTGTGACTGAAATCCACGCGGCAAAACAGTCATTTTCGTCTAAGTTTATTGTGAGCATCTACAAGAAAATTAACGGCATGACTTAAGGAAAAGCCTCAGCAGAGAAGACCTCAAGCAAGAAGGCTTCGCCCCTGTCGCACAACGCCAACCAGTTTCGCAAAAGTAACCGATACATTCTGCATGTCCGTCGAAACTGTCTACCTCGCCTGCAGCCATTTTAACGCAAATAACGCCATGGACACGAGATTACTTGGAGCTTTATTTGGTGTCTGTATGGTAGGGGCATAGTAGTAAAAAATGTAAGTCAACTGGAAGACAATTCTAATCGCTAGGAATTCATCTCTGTGTGTAACATGATAAATATCTGTAAACTTTAGATTGCATTGATCTTTACGCAGGGAATCAAGTCGCATTGAAATTTTGAGACCTCCATCGGATCCTAACCTCCAAATATCACGTTTGCCGCAGATATTCAAGCCCTTCTTCGTCATGAGCAGTATGAAACCTGTCCCGAGGTTTCCACTTACCCCAGTTTTGATGTCCACAGAAAACCAATTCGGCACATAAACTGTCTGATTTCTTTTCTTGATAGCTTCATCATAATCCACTAAGCCCAGTTCTTCTGCTTTACGTGCCTATAAATATCCAATAAAGTGTTTCGAAAATAGCGGATATGTTTACAATACCTGACGAAAGACTAAAAAAGTAGGTGTAAGTCCGGCCGGCATTATATAAAACACCTAGGTCTGCCCTTATCCGTTAATCAAACATTATGCATCACAAAAAAAAGCAATGTCAATGCATTTAGCATAAAAGTACTGATTAAGGGCAGTGTTTTCTGCCACTGAAGACTGGGCAGTTATTTCCACGTGGTCATCCGCGCCACACGAGATCTAACCGTTTGCGGACGAAGACGACACCTTTCATTTCTTGGTTTTTCTAAGAACCTGAGTTTTGGCCTGCCTCTGGGAATCAAACCTGTGACCTTCTGCTCTCAAGGTTAGCCCTCTATCAACTGAGCTAAGACTCCTGTGGTCGAACCCCACTTAACGGACACCCCAGTTAACAAGGACACCTCATTATTATGGACAGTTTGCTTTGTCCTTAGGGAAATAAAGTCCTTACATTTTCTCTCAATTCAACCCACCTAATACGGACAGCCTGTTAATACGGACACTTTCTATGGCCCCCTCAGTATAAGTATTAACGGGATTTGACTCAACCCCAACGTTATAAACTTAGATTCCTCAGCGAATCAGTCGAGCAAACCTTTGAATGCAAACAAAAGATATCAACTTTTTTGTTCAGTTTTCAAGGAAGGGAGCAGTTTTCCCACCCTTACAAAATCTCAAAACTTACATCAACAGTTGACTAAAACTTTTTCTACTTGCTTTTCACACATTTACATATCTATTTTGTTTCGTTTCTTTCATGAACGGCGATTTCACATGAACACTAGTAATGTTTCTTCAAAAGATGATTAGACTTTACCAAACTTTTTTCCACAAAAAAGAAAGGAAGAAAAAGGGAAAACAAAAACTGGGTAAAAACTCTTACTTTTAAAACATCCCACACAGTGACTCTATCTTCGGAGTCCTTGGTTATAACATGTCTTCTATTCCCCAAAACATGGAATTTTCTTATGCTAGGTGCCCCTGTATACAAAAGAAAGAACATTTCATTAATTTGATGCTACAAAGTAGGCCGCCGGATTGGGTGACCTGTAGGGTGTCGTGAACATTTAATCTTCAGCATAACACGGAGACGTGATTCTCGCGCGATCATCACTTCTGTCAGTAACGTATGCCAAGACTACGACTGAGCCTGAAAAAGATTCTGGGAAGCTGCCCACCCTCCCCTCTCCTGATCCAACTTTAACAGTAACTTTTTATCCAGGACAAAATGTTGAGTTAAGGGAGGGGTGGGTGGGCAGTTTCCCAGAATCTTATACTAATTCGAAGATAATTATTTAAAGCAAGTAGACGGGATGCCGCAGACACGCCTCACAAATAGAGACCTTTCGATGCGAGAACGAGGACGACGACAAGCACGAGATTTTAATGTTTTTTTTCCCGTATTCCTAAAAATGTACGGACCGGAAAGCTTCATTGTACTTTTTTTTTTTCACCAGAAAAGTCAGCGCAGTTTTTTAAGCCCTCTCCCGATCGCCACATGATGAAACTGCTAACCGTTGATAACTTGTTCCCGTCACTACGAAATTCTCGCTAAAACTTGTAGTAGAATGACGACGGCTATCATGTTTTCCCGCCAAAGGACGCTAGTAGCGGCCGGGGGTGGTGCTCATAGAAGGCAGGGGAGATTCCTGTGCTCTGGGGCCCGTTTCTCGAAAGTCCCGGTAACTTTTCGGGGCTCGGAAAGTTGTTTTGCGTTTCCCGTGTTTGCATCCAAGACCAAAGCTTCAATAATTTTGAAAATGATACAATGAAACTATCAGTTAACGAAACTGAATTGACTGGTTTGTGAGCGAGCCAGGAACTGTGCTACCATTCAACAGGTTTTAAATCTAAAATTTGCTTTCGGACTCGAAAAGTTACCGGGCCTTTCGAGAAATGGGCCCCTGGCCCTTAATAGCAACCCTGCCTAGGAGAAAAGACCAGAGAGGTCTTGAAGATGAACTTTGTAAACAAGAGACACCTCGGGCAGGGTGTCGATTTTGGGATGAAGCAAAGCAGAGGAGTTCAGGGGAGGAACCGCTGAAGGAGAAAAGTGGACATCACATTGTAACTGGCGTGAAGAAGAAAGGTAGAAACTGGTCTCGCTAAATTTCCTAATATGTCTTATATATAGGTCCTACCTGGCAATGTTTTTCTGGGCATTGAACAGGTTGGTTGAGGATCTGTATACGATTCATTAACATCCATATTTTCTTGATCATTGATGTAATTGATAGGCTGTCAACAGAAAAGACAACTGATTTCAACTTCATCTAATTCTAACAATAAAGTTACAAGAATGAAATGGATACAGATCCTTGTACAATGTCGCATCATTTACACTGACAGAAGATTATAAAACATGTGCCAAGTCATGGGTCACTTATTGGAGGTTAAAAAAAGAACAATGTCCAACCATAACTTCCAGGAAGTGGTTGCAGTCACTCACAAGACGCTCTCACCAAGTGATTTGACTTGGAAATGTATTTTATTTTGCAAAGGTGTCTGCTTGCAAGAGATAGCTGCACATATAGTTTTGACTGTGTTTTATTTTAGCCGATCATTTTCGTCTTCTCATACACATACAGTATAGAAACCCGATAACTCAAACTCGAACTCCCAGCTAAATCGAACTATATAAGTCCCAATTTTCTTAGGTTTCACCCCACTTTTCAGTCATTTTTACCCGGTTAACTCAAACTCGGATAACTCGAACTAAATTTCCTTTCCCTTGATCAAAATTTAACTAAAATTAACCACGTAACTCAATTTTTGGTTCTTAGTGTAACTCCCCTCAGATGCCATCTCATAAGCTCTTCTTCTTGTGGCTCAGGTGCCAACTCATCAAGGTCACATGGTTTTTGGGGTTTTCCACTAACCAGATATAAGCTTTTGATTGATCGCACACTCAAGTTTATGTTTTACAGCCAGTCCTCTAAACGTCATATGGATTGGTCCTCCTCTAAAGTTTAAAGGGGGGTTAAGAATAGATTTGTGGATTTCTTTGCAGTGGTTCCAAAGTCACTGTCTGAAGTGAATTATAAAAGCATAAATGGGAGCTTTGCTTTTAGGTCTGGCTAACTGATCTACATGTATGTCCTATTTGAGAAAGAGTCAACTTGAATCTGAATCTGACAATTGCTGTTTACCATAAGCATGATTGTAAAACTCTATAATGTTTTAAGTGTCGGCTGAATATTTGACGGAAATCAAAGTTATCAACTTGAATAGCACTTTTAATAATTGAATTAGAACTTGAGATTTTGGAAAGGTTTGCTACACAATAATAACCTTACCCAATTGTTTATTGTAGAATTTGTGGTAGCAACCCATAGAGAATGCAGCTCAGAACAAAGT